TAATTGTTGCCTGAAGATTTAGAGTCATGCCTAAATAGCGGGATCCTATCTCCTTCAAAGATTTTTCTATCTCCAGGAACAACGAAATTCCTTTCTCGTACACCTTTCAAGACAGACATAATTTAAGTTAGCAGAAACTGATCAAAATATATGTGCCATTGCTGAAATCACTGGTACACTTAAAAATACTTACATCCTCAAACTCTTCCTTCAGAACCTCTCCTCTAACTGAATTACCAAACTCCAGCTTCTCAGGTGTCAGAGACACTGAATAAGTAGCAACTTTTGAGTATTTGAACATTGCAACCAGAGGGCCCAATCTGCATTTGACCAATAATGACACATTATTTTCTTTTATCTGAATTCAAGTTTTGATGAAAACACAACCCAATGCAACATATCTAGGATTTTTGTGATTGGCAATATCAGTACCATTTATAATAAGCGTTTGCAGCTGAAAGAAAAGTTAAAACATTTTATGCTGTCCCCTCAACAGCCCCAGCTTACAAGGGGCCAAGACAAAACAGAGAAACACAAGAAAAGAAATCTCCAGGCCAGCCCAAAGATTTAATAAAAGGAAACAAATAAATCCACACAAATCAAGAATAAATAAAACACAACTTCCTATGCATTTCTGTATGCCTACTTATGTTTAATGTTTTTGCCAAAAGCATGACAAGGAGCAATAAACGAATCACTACTTTATAAGCTGCAAGTGAGTATACCCAAAGAAGAAGAGATAATCCTGGTGTAAAGAATGCCCACAACTAGATTTTCTTCTAAATGAGGAGGGATTTGAAAAGCTCAGCTCCAGAAACTTTCCAAATGATAAACCACGAGCAGCAGTTGATATCAAGACTCTTTTCGTGGATTTTGAGCTTCCATTATGGGATACACATTTACCACAGCAACTCCACATCCAAAGTTTCCCGTCACTTTGACCGGGCAAAATCTTATCTGTAGGAAGACGTCTTACGTGAATTGTGAGTTGCTTATTATGATGCGCATAGTAATAAAAATGGGCTTCTGGTAGTTGACCACAAGTCTTGCACTGCAGCCTCTGTAAAAGCCAACAATTTCTGTTGAGCATAAAAAATAAAGCTAACTTCTGTTTTTTTAACTTTTTAACTGAACATAATTTGTACTCAAAACTGTACAGTACAGAAAGTACATCTTTATTCAGAAAGTTCAACAATTATCCTTGCAGCTTTGAGAAAGAAACAATTACCCTACCAACATGCCACCAAATACCTAATTACCATGAAAAAATTAGATGCTCTAAACAAAACATGGTAGCAAATGTCCTCTCTACCAAGTCCCATTACCACCACTATGCCAGAGTGCATCATGCAGCCATGCAAAAACTAATAAAATGTGAACAAAGCAACAAATAAAAGCTTTCAAAGGACAAGATGTGGGCAAAATGTAAAACCTGATTGAGTAAATTTTCGTGCAAAAACTTTCCAAGCGGAACATCAAAATTCCTGTAGAACTTGATATGCGAAAAATGACTATGCTCACACATGGTCCCTCTTGAAGAATTTCGGCTAGACATCAAAACCAAGATACTCTCAGAATCCAAAACAGCTTTGATGTCATCCTTACTAGGGATATGTTCTTCATAATCTCCACTACTCATTTGTGTTTCAAAAGGCATTGGTAGAGGATGTGACTGTGGACGATCATGTCCTTTCCCATCATCAGCAGCAATCTTAATTTCTGTATCACAGTGATCAATGGTCTTCTGTGAGATAGGAATCTGAACATCAATTTGCCCCTGATCATCAGATGTCCTCCCATCAAAGCCGAAGTATGTAGACATAGAATGACTTGAACTAGAGATAAGAGGAAAATTATCCCCCATAACTTTTTTCAAAGAAGCTGAGAGAGATGAAAGCCCCGAAAGAATGAGCGGATTATGTGACTCAAATGAAAATGACAAATTAGCTTCGGGCTCCGAATTCAAATATTGGGTAACTTCTTCACCAAACTCATCAGAAATGGGAATTGTTGATGATGCACCAGAATCAATAACAGGATCACCATTGCAGGAAGTTGGATCACTAGCTCCATGGGGTGATAATTCTTGATTGGTTAGTGCAAGGTTCACTACTTCACTAATAGGAATAGACGAGAACATTGCCCTCTGATCTAAAAGGAAGTACGTCTCCAAGATAAAATGATATGCCATGACAACTGCACAGCGGACCACACATTTGATTCTCTTCAGTTGATCACTGTCGGCTCCCATCAACAAAATCTGTCCCATATTTCAAATACAAGTTAAGATATTTCAATATACTGCACTGCATCACTCTGAAGACTTTTGATGCTCAATTACAATTAATTCTAGTAACATGATGGCAACACCAAGCAAATTAACCAAAATGCTGGTTTTCAATTGAGGCATGACCATTTAGTTGCTAGGGTGAAGCTAAAATTTCCATCAGAAATGGGACACAAACGTAGTACTTAATATTGGCCCTAAACAATTAAGAAATTATTAATTCCAAAGACCAAATGACATGTATAATACACTACCACTAATCACAGCTTCCTTCCCAACAGGAAATCATAATTTTGCAGATAATGACAGAAATGTACAATATGTAACATCAAGGTTCACTTTCACATGTATAGAAATGTCATCATTCAAGTAAACAAATCAGAAGGGACAAAATGGAATTATAAAGACATCTTAAAGTTGGGAAAGTAGTTGATAAAGTAGACAAAAAAAAGGCACCACAAATCTCCCTTCCAACGAGAGAATGTGAAAGACACATAAATGTTCTTTATCTACTTCAAAACATTATGCAGGAAAACCGAGGCATAACATTCAAGGTGCAACAAAATATATACTGCAGCTGAGCTGTTTTAACTCAAGGCCCATAGCAAATTACAAGTCCAAGCCCAGAAGTAGTTTACTGTTCTATCTGGCTACTTCAAGCTTTGTTGGCACATGAACTTGCAAGACCTAAGGATTATTCTAGTCAAACCTCAAGCTATGCTCTTTCTATTTAATAGCCCAAGATGATGTAACCCAGGATATTAATTCATGGACCAAGTTATATCAACTCATTGGCATATACTAACTACATCTCCTTTATAAAGGAGCTTCAAGTCACTAAGGAATGAGATTTTTAGCAGAAAGAGGTTTTAGCTTTAAGATACTCTTTGATACTATTGCTTCAAAGGAGAGATCACTGGCTGCTATGAGATGTGATTCCAAAGATCCCTCAAATCCCATTGCTGAAAATCAACTTCAAAATCAGTTATCACTACAATTTATCCCATCCCTGAAAACTTAGAAATTAGATCTCAGCTTTATATTCTAGATAAACTTCTGCATCAAATTTACTAGGTCAGGAACACAGAACTTAAGGTTGCCAAAATAGTGAAAGGTAAGCTCATCTAAAACTAGCAATCATATATCATTATGTCAAGTTTTTGGAAAGCATAAACACAGCACATCTTCTTAAATAAAAAGTTCTTCAAAAAACCCAAAATTACATAAAAATTGAATTATTCAATAATTATCTACTACATGTACTGTATTTAGCATCTTAACTTATCATTTGTTTGACAACAAGAAAATTCATAATACAAGTGTTAGCAGAAGTGAATCCTGTATTCCTGTTCCCTTTCACAAGAGGCATTTTGCATAAAAATGCCATACCCCTTGAACAACCCCCCCACCCCCCCAAAAAAAAAATTCTCTGATATCAACCATGATTGCTCCAAAGAATGGAAAGCTTACATATTCAAGTACTCCTTATGCATCAGTTGCATAATAAAAACTTATTTAAGAGCTTCTATGCTACTAGTTAGCATGTTACATGCACATCTACTGATTTCAAATCAAAATTGAACTTCTGCATCAAATTTTTTCAATCTACTGGCCAAATTATTATCTTAACTAGTGACAAACAAGTGAAAACATAACAGGTATCTATGCAATCTAATGGAAGCCTCTAGATCTAGCCAAAAGAATAAAAAATAAGTTTATATAATAATGATTAAGCATTGCACGATCTGATTTGTCTTTTGACCACAAGGCAGATGCACACAGCAACCAAGATGAGTGCAGAATGTACTTTGGGTCAAACAATGAACAGCAGAAATAGATGCAGTGCTAACTCTGAAATTGATCGACAATATCAGCGTCTCTGTGTCAGAAATAATTTCTAGTTTTAATGTTTCCAAATCAATCATTCATGAGAAAGAATATATCCTTTAGAAAATTTAACTGAGGAAAATAGAGGGACAGTTAGATATCTATCTATATCTACTTCTAAAGACATTATTTAGTGGACTTTAGAAGTTTCCCTACCTTCAAAAAAATAAATACAAAGTTAAGCCAAAGCACTCAACTAACCAATGACTTTCTTCACAACAAGAATCCAGGCCAAAATTTAACTCAAGGAAAGAGTATCAAAATTTTGGAATTCCTGAGTTCTGGATTTTCTAAAATCTTTATCAATTGATGTGCACTTTAAGGTAAAAACCCTATTTTACTTTTCAAAAGGTTTGTTCTGCTCACAAAGCACTGAGGGGTATCAGCCTTGAACACAAAGAAAGAGAAGCCAATTAATTGTTAACATATAATACTCCAAAGTTTCTCATACGCTTCTCAACAGTTCTTCCACCCCATGGAGAACTTTTGGGTTCCTAGGATCCAAAAGGTGCATCTAAGACCACTGTCCCATATGAGAGTCATCTTTCTTCTAGTACAGGCAAAAATTTTTGGAAACAAAACATAGACAGTGAAATTTGTAAACATTTCAATTTACTTTTGGGCAATGACAAGTGGATTTGCACCATTAGTATTTCTCATGGCCATCCAGCACTAAGCAAACAGTTGACTTAACCATGTCAATGCGTATCGCTATATATCCAATCATTCTAAAATATCTTGTTTGAACAAAAACCATTCTAACTTCAATTTTCAAGACTATGTTCTCCTAGTATTGCAATTCCTCTCATATCATAATTTTTGGCAGTAAAATGAAGACTTAGATAACCAGGCATTTTGTGTGGCATGTGGTCGAATATGCCCATATGCAGAAAAAGAAAGCTTCAAAAACAGCACGGAAAGTTTTGATGACATCTTTGAAAGAGAATTTGTTAATATCCAATCTTTGGGGTTGTGGAACTCGTCATCCAAAAAACTCAGAAGCAATGCTTCTATCCATCAGTTCTTTTTATGTACTTCAGCAATGTAACAAGAAGGAAAGGTACTTTTAACAATGACAGGCCTTTGATGAAGAGTTCTAGGACCATGAAGGTATAGCAAAAAACTCATCAGGTTCTCACCGTGCATACAAGACGAGTTGGGCATCCCTCTAGAAACATCAATGTTTTGCTTGGTTTCTTGCCAGTTTCGGCAATAACAGCGTGTTCTTCCACGAACTTTTCAAAATGAAAAGAATCACACTGCCTAAGCTTCTGGCCAACCAGAGAATCTGGAGACAAGATGGGTGAACCTGTGCAACGAGCAACTCTCTCCAGACGATGAAGCTTCATATCAAGGACCAGCGTCATTCCTTTTGCCAAGATGGACTCTTGTATATCACGAGAAACAGTTTTCTCTACCAACACCACATTTGGTTGGTACATGTCTATCACATCAATGATGGCTCTCATACTATCCTTCTCCTGATGTTGGGAGCATAATTTTAAATATTATTAACTGCCAATAACCAGAAACTTTTGAACATAGAAAACTCAATCATACCTGCTGCATTGACTCAAATGATGATAGTCCATTTGATGAAAGTCCAAGGGCACCCTGAATCAACATCAATCTAGGAATGGTGTACTTTGTGGGCATGTGTTTGTGCGCAGCGTGCTTTTTAAAGACCAGCCCTTTAATCATTCGGCTATAAAGGCAAACAATTCAGTTACAAACTTGAAGTTTGTCAATACTGAGTATAGCAGTCATTCAGAGTAGCACATGAAACTAAGATATACAAATACAAGTAGGCCTCAGAATCAGCTGGTCTTTCAGTACAAACACGAACAAGTAGCTTTAGATTTGGATGTGTGTAATTTGACAAGAATTTAAATTTTTAGAATGCCTCAGAGCCTGACACAGATTTTTCAAGATGCTTCAGCAACAAATGAAGATAAACAACAAAACAGAAAACAAAAGATGCCTGCTTGTTCTGCATTATTCTCTGGGATTTCCAACACAGCAAGTACTTTCAGATTTTGTTGAGTTGGAAGAAGAAATGTGCACATTAAAGTGAATCAGAAAAAGTACACAAAATAGAACTGATCAATTACACCCTGAAAAAGTTAAAACTAAAACCAATGGAAAGAAAATAGTTGATGCCTTATCACCTTTGACATGGAAAACCACTGGAGATACATTTGATTTTTACATATCCATCAGGATCCATTGCTTTTCCTTCTGCAGCATCTGGCTTCACAAATTTAGCAGCCTCCCATGACAAAAGAGTAATGATATCTACCCAACTATTTCCATCTTTTGCAGAAGAGACAACACCAACAGATTTAAGTAGTTGATCAACAAGGGCCTTAAACTTCCCATTCATCACCTCTTCCATCGCTTTTCGCTTTACCTCTTTGAATTTGTGGGCCCCACTTCTTTCATCTCCAAAGCTGCTTAAAGAGCTCGGGCTACCCCAATTTATACCATCAACAGATTCATCATCATCCTCATCATAATTGATCACACTACCCTCAATATCATCAATATAATCCTCAGGCTCTGGGGGTAGCCAAAACTGGGCATCCATCTCATCATTACCTGGTAAGCTTGCACTTCCCTCATCAATCACTGAACCAAATCTTTCCAAATTATGATGACTGGCTTCCTTATCATGAAGAGTTCCTGCATTTTCTATGTCTCTGTTAATCCAAGTATCATTTACAACATTTATTCCCTGGAGGTCATTTTTCACAGAAGTACTGAGTCTTTGAACTCCATTAGTCTGAAATTCTGAGCTATGATCATTTAATTGGTTCTTTGCACTGCAAAGAGAATCTTCTTGACTGCTATCCGTGCTACATTCCTCCAAATAAACCCTAATAACAATGATGACAATGTAAGAAGAAGCAAATTAGTTGAAATTCTGTTAGTCTCATTCAAAATTCAACTTTTTGCTTACCTTCCATCTGAGTTTGCATCAATTGAAAAATCACCTGCATGACAACCATTATAAGAATCAGCACAAGAATGTGCAAACAGGAGGAAGAGGAACCAGAAGATACCAAAGAAGAAAAAACAAATGATGTAAGACATTACTGCAACTCGATAGACCACTTTCACTGCTTCTCAAGGAAGCACTTGTACTTATTGATGGCATTGAAGCAGGGATTTGATTTCTCTGTCTTCTCAAAACTTCATTGATTGCTACCTGATCCACAAAAATGAGAAAATTTGCACATGATCTTGGGGCCAACCAATTTCTGTATTGCCACTAAGAACAATCAACGTAACAATTCAGGATGAAAAGGTGATATATTTAAACAATCAACATTAGCAAATTATCAGAATTTTCAAATATCAGTGAAAACCCTGTAATATTGATCTCAAGAAAACCAACAAAATCCAAGAAACAGCATAGCACATCAAAAATTCACCCGTAGCCACACCCAACCCTTACCCCCACCCTGTCTCCTGCCCCAACCCACAACAAACCTCCTAGTTTCCATCCAAACAAATAAGTACATAAAGAAACCAAATAAACACTAATTAAAATCTAACTGAAAATGCAAAATTCCTCAGACTGGTCCAGATCAAACAAAAGCCTGACCACATTAACACTCAAAGAACAGCATTCAATTCATTAAAAACTCAAGTATTCAGATTCCTAGAGCGGAAAATAACGGGGAAAAAAAGCTATTCAGATTCCCAAAAACCCCAACTATTTGAACTGACCATCCACAACATTAAAATCTCAGCCAAAAAAAAATACTTCAAAATTTAGTCTTTACAATAACTGCACCCAAACAAGAGAATTGGGAGTCGAAACGCATTCTTTAATGCTCAAATCCGACGAATCTTGAACCACAAAATGAAGTCAACAGCAAATACAAGTCAAAAGAAAAGAAGGAAAACCTCTATACCCGAAAGAAATAATTTATATGCGGTTTGATCTGCTGTGATAAGTTAACAAAATCTCTGACTATATATTCCATGTTCAACAAGGCTAAGAAAAGCAATCTAGTAAGCAAGAATCAAGGAAGATAACAGAAACCTAAATTTTTAAATAGTTAACTTGCCATTTTAGGCTTCAATAAAATCAATCAGTAGAAGACATCCCAGAGAAAATATAGGAAACAAGAAAAGGAAAGCAGAAAAAATAAATAAAGCCTTGACAAATAACTTACTATTAAAGCGATCAAATTAAAGCGTAAATGGTGGCCCCTAAATCAAATCCCTCTTCCCAAGGGTATCAAAATCTTGAAATTTGAAACTAATTCTGGTAACCCTTTACATTAATATACAAGAATTGAGTCGAGAAACAGAGAAAAAAGAAATAACAGATGATGATGAGGAGAATAAGCGGAGAAATGAAGAGAACTTAAGGAAGAGTGAAGGAAGAAGAAAATGCAGGAGGATGAAGCACACTTTGTGTCCCAAAGTGGGGTCCACTGTTCTTGTTACATAAAATTTGGAGTTGGGGCAGAAAATTTCAATTTTGATTTTTAAATAGTCAACATTTTTAGTTTTGGACGGTTAAAAAAGTCAAATTTGAGTGAGATAAGGAAGAAACAATAAAAGTGAAATTAGACAAGTAAGTATTCCTTCAATTGAAAGAGAGAGAGAGAGAGAGAGAGACTAGTAGTGTTCCTAATGATATAATAAGTTTGTTTGGACAGGTGATTATTTCTTCAAATATATTTACTTACGTCATCATTATAATTTTCAATACACATTTTTATCTTTTTAATTACTTTTTTATCTCACATACATCATATCACAAAAAGTACTACAGTAAATATATCTCAAATAACTTACAATGTCTGAAGAAATTACTTTTTTTGCATTCGGCTAGTCTCAATTAGGAAAACAAATAGTGGTTTGACTTATGCCCACCTCTGATTTGTCACTATCTTGGTTATTAGGTAAGTGAGTCAGTTCACGTAATTTAACATTTTATATGCTGTAAATGTGAAAACATATTAAACCCGATCTCATAAAGAACCCGACATAGAGACGGGATCAATGAATCACTCGTTGAATCGGTGAGTATTAATTTAATATTTATAAATATAAAATAGTAATTTTAATAAACATAAAATATATAATAAAGTGCTTTTAGATACTAATTATTATACTTAGAAAGATATATAATAAATATATAGATATTAATAGAAGATTTTAGTTTATTTTATCATTCTTTAAAAAATATAAAAATAATGTAGTTAATATAAAACAAAATTTATGTCGCTTGTTTTAAAAAAATATAGCATTTTTTCATTATTTTATTTTTTGTTAAAAACAATGTAATTTTCTAACTAATCAAATATTGTCAATTAAAAAGGATTAATTGTATAATAAAAAATAAACAAATTTATTAAAAAATATTTAGTTATCAAATAAAAACTAAACAAGTGGTAAAGTCAACATATATACATTTTGTTTAAAAAACAAAGACCCACAATTATTTTTTAAAAAAAGGTAAACTAAGTCAATCGAGTGGGTTTTCAATTGAACCACTGGGTCAAATAGGTTTATCCGAGTTTGACCAAATCAATTTCTTGTTCGGTCAAGCTAAAGATCGGTCTAATCTGATGCCCAGTCTACCGATCCAATTGGTTCAGTCATTGGATCTGAGTCGAGTTTAATAATTATGTGTGAAAATACAATTATCACAATAAGTCAACTTCTAATTTGTGATTATCTTGGTTATTAGGTAAGTGAGTCAGTTTACATAATCAAACATTTTATTTGCTGTATATGTGAAAATACATCCCTCATGTATCCTCTTTTCTGTCCTTAAGGTGGAAAACTGAACAAAGAATTCTCTTTCTTCATCACGAATCAAAAAACTTAGGATTTTATTATAATGAAAAGAAGTAATATAGGAATTTGTTACTAGGTATTTGACCAAATAGGGTCCTCCACTTCCAATAGATCTTATCACTAAAATAGTCCTAAAAGGAGGTAAAGCTAATCAGAGCAAGAAGGGTTTTTCATGATATGGGAAATGAAAACTATTGGCCCACATGAAGTTTGTGAACAAGTGACCGTAAGACAATATTGTA